CACTTTTAAAAGTAACGGTTGCAACGGGTCGTCCAGGGCCAAACAGTTAACCCTGAAAAGACACATGCAAGTCACATTATATGGACTGGACAGGTTATATTTAGGAACATATGTATGAATATACAAACACATGTCTGCAGTAACAGCTGAAAAGACGAGGGACCCTGAATCTGAAGGGATGGGAGGGTGCGGATGGGAGGATTTGCAGGGGGGAAGGAAGGGAGAAATGTCATAATTAATACAGCTTCTAAATGAAACAGCAACAGCAAACAAGGTGTGCTGGGCATGGGGGCCTGTGAAGTGGGGAGACAGGCCGTCAGACATTTACACCCATGAGTTCCAGGCTAGCCTGAGCTACATAGTGACACCTTGTCAAAAGGAAAAAAGAAAGTTAGGGACTTGTAGGGTGCAGGATGCACATTGGTAGCACACACGCTTAGCATGTGTGAGACCCTGAGCATACATGCGTGTGTGCGTGTGTGCGTGTGTTAATGTGAGCGTGTGTGCCTGTGTGTGTGCGTGCGTGCGTGCGTGCGTGTGCGTGTGTGCGTGTGTGTGTGCGCGTGTGCGTGCGTGTGCGCGTGTGTGTGCGTGTGTGTGTGTGTGTGTGTGTGTGTGTGTGTGTGTGTGTGTGTGTGTGACTCCAAGGAACCACGGGGACCAATGCTCCAACTGACATTCTTGAAGCTATAACAAAAGGCTGGCCAAAGAATGTACATTTACCTATTTAAAATTAATGTCTCGCAGGATGTGTGGGTGTAGAATATTAATCCCAGCACCCGGGAAGGAGGCAGAGGCAGGTGGATCTCTGCGAGTTCAAGACTAGCCAAGTTTATATAGTGAGTTCCAGGCCAGCCAGGCTACACATTGAGACCCTGTCTCCATAAAGCAAAACTAAACTAAAATTAAACTGAACACTTGTTGTGCCCAGATTTCGGAACCCCAAAAAGAAGCCACCAACAAGGAGACGACTCACCCAATCCAAGGACAAAGGTTTCTTTATTGACTCAAGGACACGAGCCGAAGCAAGGACCCCATTTGTGCGAGAACAAATGAGTACCCACTTTCGACTGAGGGGTGTTTTGTTTGGTTTGGTTTGGTTTGGTTTGGTTTTGGTTTTTTGAGACAGAGTTTCTCTGTGTAGCTTTGGAGCTTATCCTGGCACTTGCTCTGAAGACCAGGCTGGCCTCAAACTCACAGAGATCCACCTGCCTCTGCCTCCCGAGTGCTGGGATTAAAGGCGTGCACCACCAACGCCCGGCCTGAGGGGTGTTTTTATAAGGGGAAATTGTAAGGCTGGAAGCCCCAAGATTACAAAACTTCTGTGGTTGCACAGGACAGGGCAATGGTTGTGTGCTTCAGGCAAGGTGCAATTAAGCAGGATGCTGCAGAGAAAATGAGTTTGTTAATTGTCTCCTGGGCTGGGGACTTCTACATTCGATAACTATCTGATCCTCTTTGGACTACAGGAAGGCCAACACAGCTCAAGGGTGTGATATCTGGTCTAAGGCCTTGAGTCATGTGGACCTTTGTTTAACCTTGTCTGTTGGACTGCCTTTTGGGAACTCGGAACTCAGAGAAGCTTAAGAGTTTTTCTATTTGGGCTTTGGAGTCTGGGTTTTAGACTTTTATTTTTTTTCCTTCCAGCCTGACCACCTGATTTCAGTTCCCAGAACTCATAAAAAGCCAAACTCAGTAGGTCATGGGTCTGTTGCCCCACTGCAGGCCACTCCTACAGTAAGACAAAAGAGAATCACTGGCAGTTATGAGCCAGATAGCCTGTGGCTAAGGAGACCCTGTCTCAGAGTGGAAGGTGAGGACTGGTACCCAATGATGCTGTCCTCACTTCCACACATGCACCATGGGCTGGCCTCTGCTTGCATGAGCAAGTGTGCCCCCTGCCCCAAACATTGCTATCACACAAATACTGATTTTCACCCTGCTCTCCTTCCCAGGGAACTGTGCTGAGAGCTCAGTCAGTAAGAAATTATGGTCTCCCGCCAACAGCCGGCAATGGACAGAGCCTACTGACTGCAGCCCTGAGTCAGCAAATCTCCCAGCCTTCTTAACTATTCTGTGTTACTACTACAGATACCTGACGTGGGGTCACATTTTTAAAAAGATTTATTTGGCTCATACTATAGGAAATTGGATGGTACTGGCAATGAGAGTGCTTGTTGTTTCAAGCTGTTAAACGGTGTGACACGCTTCACATGACTGGTGGCAAGTGCCTGCAGTCTCAGCTACTCCAGAGGCTTAGACCCAGGAGTGTGTGACAAGCCTTGCTCAACACCTAAAAAAGGAAATAAGAGGCAGAGGAAGGGGAATGCTGTCGCCTGCCTCCTGCCATGTAGGCAGTGCTCCTTTTTCAGGCTCCCTTGTCTCAAGGAGGGTTAGCAGCATTGGCAAGGTTGTAGGACACGGTGCTGTGTTCAGGTACTGTGGTGGTATTCAAACTGCAAATCACCAAGCCCTGAAACCTCCTATACATAAGTGTGCCTGCGAAAGCTTCTGGGCACATACAGACAGGCAGAATGCTAAGGGGACAGATATTGGACAGGGCAGCTGCTCTGCTATGGCTTTTTAAGTAAAGGATAAAAAGTGCCACCAGGCAGGCATGTTCTTTTTTCTCTGCTGTACTGGAATCCAGCCCTTCTTTGCCCAAGTGATGGTTACCACAGGGGTTTCACTGTTTTGATGTACAAAAAGCCAGAGAATCTGAAAAGACCCAAAGTCTGTTCAGCCTGATCACAGGCAGCAGAGAAGAGCAAGGGAGAAAAGGACAAGAAACGGCCGGCCGTGTGGAATGTTAGAGAATACAGCACCTGTGGAGAAACACTGCAGGGAAATGACGTCAAGAGCTGCATCAGAGTCACAGACAGGGAAGACAGCACAGAGACGAGTGTTCATGAAAGGGAGGCGAACGGCAGGGACAGGGCCACCACTACGGATGTGTCCCCACGGCGTGTAATGACAGACACAGAGGGGCCCATGGAGGAGGCTTTTAAACACATGTCACAATTCTGCGAGATGTGCAAACCTTTAATCCCAGCACCCGGGAGGCAGAGGCAGGCGGATCTTTGAGTTCAAGGCCAGCCTGGTTTATAGAGTTCCGGGACAGCCAGGGCTACACAGGGAGACCCTGTCTCAAAACAAAACCGATAACAAACAACAAAACAAAAAGAATTCTGTGAGATTTTTAAGGTGCCAAAACCTTAAGTATAGCTAGGACAACCCAAGAGGACACAAGAGATGACAAAGAATAACCAGATAAGGACATGAGGGACGAAGTGAGACCTCGATGCCTGTGCAGGTACGTCCCCATCCCCCAACCCTGCATCTCTGATCATGGAGATTCTGCTCACACCTGTGTGACCTGGCTATTAAATAATATACTTCAGTCCATATATTTAGTAAGTTTAAAACAGGAATGGTAGTGCATGCCTGTACTGCTGGCACCTGGGAGGTAGAGGCAGGAGAATCTGGGGTTGAAAGCCAGCTAGGTCTACATCAGACTCTCTTTAAAAAACATACAAGCAAACCAAAGAAACTAAAAGAAATAGGAGCCGTGTGAGTAGCTCAGCGGTAGAGCACATGCCTAGCAGGCACTGCGCTGTGGTTTTCATCTCCGGCACTGGAAATGAAATCATTGGTGAGAGGGATGCTTGCAGGCAATCCATCCCAGAAGCTTATACTGTTGGATGGCCTGCTCATTCAAATATTTTAACCAAAACACGAATACTGGGACTTTGTCCATCACAATGCTATCTTTATTTCCACGCTAGTGCGTACAGATATGTGGTAATATTTTACACTTGATTTCAGCGCTCCCAGAGTCCTCTGTTCTCTCTGCCTCCATATGTGGTCCCTGTCAAAGGGTAGGCCAACTGAGGCAACACTGGCCTCACAACCATACAAAGTGTTACTTAAAGCAGCCAGCACATCACCAAGACACCATCACTTTTTTATTTGGCTGGGACAGAAAGACATGCTCATTCCAGTGCCTGCACGGGACCACTGCAGTCTGTTCCCATGGTGGTTTAACATTACACAGATGAGTTCAGCCTTTACACTGAAAAAACAGATTTGCTGAGGCCAGTCAAGGAAGCAGTAACACAATACGATCACTAAGAACAAAGTGTTTCGTGTGTCCATTTATCACAGGTTACATAAACTCTTACATCTCACGTACATATTTGTTAAAAAGTTTACAGACATTAATTTATCTTTATAGTCAGTTTGAAATTACATCCCAATTAATTTCTGAATCCATGTTCGCACTAAAAGTTAAAACAAGAGTGATCAACATAGCTCTGATCATGACAGGCCCTGGAGTAGTTCGCCACCGCTTTGTCAACCTTACTTTGGTATTACTCATTTCTAGGCTAACTGCCTGGGATGAAGTAGGAAACACTGCATCTTAAAGCAAAGAAACAATTGCAAATAGTCCTGTATAGCCAGTTAGCTCCACAAACCCACAGGATCACGGCGAACAGATGAAAGGTGAGTATTCACTCAGGAGACAGACAGGTCTTCGGAGCTGACGTCAACAACAGAAAGTTTGGCCTCTTGTAAAAAGACAGCTCCATTTTGTCATTTCACTAACATAGCGTTAACCTTTGGCAAGAAATAACTGCCGTTTTAGTTGAGCAAGAACAGAGAGAAACGAACAAAGGAAAATAAACCAACTGGATGTTTTTCCTTTTTTCTTGGGATTAACTCTGCCCTCTTACATCCTTCGTGTGGTGGCCGTGGCAGGTGATCCTCAGTTAATACCATGAGTCCCATTAGCTGCCCGCCCCAACAGGCGCTAGCCTAGTTTGATCAAAATACGTGTGTGTGTGTGTGTGTGTGTGTGTGTGTGTGTGTGTGTATGACTTAGGTATTTTCAACAGTCAAGTCAGAGATGTTCTTTTTAAAAAGACACTTTGCTTTAAAAACTTAAGCTCCCCCACCCCCACCTCACAAAAGATTTTTCTCCTGTATTTATTGCCCCCAAATCCTATTTGGTCATCCTTACCTCTTTTATCAAAGGCCACAAAGAAAGAATCTGGTAAGTTTTATAATTAGCTCACCAGAAACTTATCAGATTTAAGCACTTAAGTTCGACAAACCAGCCCGTTCTTTCTTTTTGGTTCTTTCAAGGCAGGGTTTCTCTGCATAGCCTTGGCAGTCCTGGAATTAGCTCTGTAGACCAGGCTGGCCTCGAGCTCATACAGATCGTCCTGCCTGTGCCTCCCGAGTGATGGGATCAAAGAAGTGTGCCACCACCACCCAGTCAAACCAACCCTTTCTTGAAGACTGGCGATTTATTTTTAACTGAAATTTAAAAACGGAGAAATCAAACACTTCTCGGAAAGGCTACCCACCCGAGATTATCTCATGTTGTAGCAGCATTTATTGCTACATAGTGCAAGTCCTCAAAAGCTATTTCAAACAGTACTTTTCCCATTTGTAAAAGCCTCAGCACAAACAGTTAGCTCTCTCACATTAACTAATACAATCCATAACTGTCCTGGTTACGAGGTGACCACGTGTGTCACTCACATCCAGTGACACCTCAGGAGACACACACACCTCATGTGACAGTAAAAAGGGAAGCAGAGTACAATGCATTTTGGTACTTGTCACCAGTAAGAATCATGAATAGGCAATTAGGGCATTAAGAAGGGATGTAGGAGAAGGCAAGGCGTTGTATGGCAAAGCAAGTTTAAGGCCCTAACAACCTATGCACTCTAATGGCACAAGTCTAAATTTTACATCTTTTAATTAATTTACATCACCATGTATATATAAATTTAAAACCTTAAAAAAATTAAACTTAGTTTTACCTTTTTATTTTCTCACCACTAACCTTAATCTAGGCACTTTAAACTGAAAATGTGTTTTTTTTAAAAAAAAAAAACACACACATTTCAGATCTTTCTATATAACTCACTCTCAAAACTAATGCAGCCCTCTTTAGGACCACAAGTCAACAAGTCCAATCTACTGATGAACAAGTGGTACATGATCTTAAAACAAAGTTAACGAGGCTTTGAAAATACATAATATACCTTGCCACTTGTCCATATATTCATCGTAAGGACACAGAATATATTCCTTATTAAAATATATGTGTTCCATTTCTGAGAGGAAAAATCCTTTAAAACCCAAGCTCAAGGAGTGAGTAGTTTTAAAATTTGGGCATAACACGGCAAACTTCCCGTGTGCTGAGCTCACTGTGGGGGAGTCAACATTTGTTTTGCTGACAGAGAAAGGAGACCTTATTTGATTCTACCAGTTTTACTTTCTTATGCCTCAAAGTTACATTTAAAAGGGGATAAGATTTTTATTCTTTTTCTTGGCAAATAAATTATGTTTTCAAATTTAAGATTCATCTGAGGAAAACTGTTCTAATTTGTAAAAAGACAGAAATACTTCAGTGTTTTAGAACTCACAGGACGACAGTAATATACTCTGGACACTGCAGGGACCCTCCACAAGTAAACGGCTCAGTTTCCTTCACTGAGGTTCTGGACACTGTTCCTTGGTGATTACAATTTTTTTGATTCAAATACAAAAGCAAATATACAAGCAATAAGGCAAACAGTACAGTTCAACACCACTATTGCCTACGTTTGATTAAACAAAGAGATAACTTGATGGCTAAGAATACATTTCAGGCAGAGTTAGGTATGTTGACACTAGAAGTCATAAACACTCGTGAACCACAATCACCTTGGGCTAGTGTATTTTCCAGGTGCAAAGCATCGAGACGCATTTTGAGAGTGATATTGTACATTCCAGACATGTGAAGACACTTCATGAACTCCTACATATTGGCTTGATTCAGCAACAGCCACAAAATATGCAACATTTCAGAACTTAAATTATTTCCTAAAGGTTATTAGAAAGTAGCTCTGGACATGTCACACGTGGATTCAATGACAGAATTTCTGTGTACGTACAGTGCAATCACCCGTTCTTTGAGACTGAATTTCCCCCTCCCTGAGTCGGCATCAACAGTTCTGTGGATTCTGACTCTCACAAAGTCAGTTGTCACGTTAAATACTGGACAGCACCCTCAGACCTCTTCAGTTCTTATTGTACTTTGCCTTCTACCAGCGTGTTGGGCACGGCATGGCCAGGTCCACTGGTACAAGTAGTGGCGTGCCTCAGGGCATCGGCACCAAGACAGGCGACCAGCAGTTCCGTGCGGCGGATGAGTAAGTGAGAGAGGTCCTCCGCCAGGGTGTCTATGCTCGAATAGCGCACCTTCTCAAAGTCAAAGATGTCTTTGAGAAAGAAAAGAACTTGGTTCTGGAAAATGAATATGCAAGAAATTGACATTTATTACACCACAATTTGTTAAATCTATGAATTGCTAATATTGAAACAGACATTGAACCAGGGGTCAGACAGCTTAATTCTGGGGCAGGTTTTACATTTCATAGGCAAAGGACTTTGAAGAAGTTATTTAATCTTTTGGCTTGTTGTTTTCTATGTCTGTAAAATTTGGGCAAATACTACTTGTCCTGGTTTTTGGTTTTTTATCTATCTATCTATCTATCTATCTATCTATCTATCTATCTATCCATCCATCTATCTATAGTCATGGTTTCTCTGTGTGGCTCTGGCTGTCCTGGAACTCTCTTTATAGACCAGGCTGGCCTTCAACTCAGAGATTCGCCTGCCTCTGACTCCCAAGTACTGGGATTAAAGATGTATGCCATCAGGCCTGACTAGCACGTCCTGTTTACTACACAAAGCCAGCATAATGATCAAAAGAGACAGTCTATGAGAAGCACCCAAAGTACTATGTAACTGTGAGGGGCTGCTTACCAGCCTTGCCCTGGGCCATGTAGGCATAGGAAAAAGAAGCCCTCTCAACAATCACTAATCACTATACTTGAAAATGTAAATTTTTCTGTTAAAAAGACACAAATGAAAAATGCTAGTTTCATGTCTACAGTCAGCGGCAAGCCCCGTAGAGTTCCATTTCAGTGAATTAACACAAAAGCACACTTAAAGTATGTTGTGTACTATTAAATACTAACCCTCAACTACTATGAAATGATGGGAAAGAGTGAGTTGCAAAGAGAAAACCCGGCAACACCAAATTTTAATCCTGTAGGAATCGTGTGTAGGAAACACTAGGGATGCTATCTCCCAGTCCCGGCAGGGCCATCGGCCAGCAGCCTTCTAGTGCCCCAGTCTAGAGACGGGAAGGAGGTGGGAGCTGGAGAACTCCAGGATGTCTAAACACCAGCTCTACTCTTTCCACTGAAACCCACACTTTACAACTGGAAGGTTAAGTAGACTAGAAACAAAGTAATGAGTTCTAAACGACAGTAAAATAAATACTTCCTAAGTCATTTCTACAAATGTTGTATTACTAAAGCAAACAAAAGTTAAAATAAAAAAATTCTCAGTACAGTGAGACATCCAAGCATTCAAATTTGTACCACCTCAATATAGTCCAACAGAGAGGTTTCCTTCTATGTTGCCAGCCTGAACATTTTGCAGTGAGCTCTAACAAATGTTTTGGCAAACACAAACTTCTGACAAGAGGACATAACTTCAAATTCCCATGTGATTTCTTACAACTTGGATTTCGGCTTTCATGTCATTTTGGACACACCTGCAGGGGCCACTGTAACATGGCAGCATGGTTCAAAACCCTCAGTAAAAAGTCAGTGGACATGTGGAGTCTACTCTGCAGTAGGGCGTCAGCTCTGGTCCATTGTATTAACACTGGTATTTAAAAATGTCACTAATTTAATACTGGCACTTAAATACAGAATTTAGGTGAGTTTCACAATTTTGTTTTATTTTTTCAAAGCAATGATTCAATGACTGAACATACCTTAAAGAAGCAGCATAAGTCATATAGAGAATTTCTAGGGCCCAAGAAGCCCCAAGCTAAGACAGGGCTTATATGCTCACAAATGGCATAAAAATGGGCAAAAAATCCATCTGATATCTGTTGGGAAGCAAAAGGGAAGCCGGTTAATTTTATCTTCTTAAATTTACTTTCTCCATTAATGAGACAGAAACTGCTGCCATTATGTGGGCAACAGTCTTTGGGAGCAGACCAAGGTTCCATGATGAGACAGTTTATTGTCTCATCATGGAACATTAATAAACTTTCCAGTAACTAAGGGTCACAGGGTTTTTATAGACTATACTCTAGTCACCTCATAAAAACACATTTTGAACCTTCCTTATCCAGGAGCTTCAGTCAGAAGAATTTCAGACTGTTTTGAATTCTGGAACACCTCTTCCAACAAGGCCACACCTCCTAATCCTTCACAAACAGTTCGTCAACTGCAAGCTAAGCATGAAAAATAGGAGTCGATGGGAGCCATTCTCAGTCAAACCACCGCGGGGCACGGGGTTCTGCATTTAACTTCTACTTCCAAAAAGCAATTATCATGCTGCAGCAAAGTTCCAACAATGCTACAGTATTCTACCATGACATAAAATGAATAAATCCAATTTAAAACATTTTTGATTAAAAATATTTTCCTTCTCGAGGTCTTCCTTGACCTAGTTATCAGTCGGGAGCATGTTGCTTAGTTTCCATGATTTTGTGTACTTTCTATTGCTCTTGGTATCCAGTTTATTTCCACTGTGACCAGATAGACTACAGAATGTTATTTCAATTTCCCTGTATCTGTTCATACTTTCTTTGTGTCCTAATATGTTGTCAGTTTTGGAGAAAGTTCCAAGGGCCGTTGAGAAGAAGGTACAGTCTTTAATGTTTGGGCAGGGTGTTCTGTGGTGTCTGTTGTGCCCATTTCATGCATTTAACACCCATGCTCCCTAGTTAGTCTTTGTCTGTCGGTGACAGACAGTGGGATATAGAAGTCATCTATTATCATGGTGCTGAGGTTAATCTGTGGTTTTAGATCAAAGAGTATATATTGCTAAAGATTATTTTAATTTTAATCAAGTGTATATGTATGTATCTCTGTGCACATACACAGATTGAAAGGTTCAGGCATTATGCTGGCCTGCCCCTGTTACCTGGTGGAATCCACTCAGGCAATACCCTGGTCAGCCCAAGGTTCCATGGGAAAGAAGTCTGCACGCAGGTGCAGAGGACCCCTTTAAAAGATAGGCCCCTGCCCCTTTACGCTCTCTCTCTCCCCCCCTCTCTCTGTGTGCTCTCCCGTCTCTCTGTTTCCCCGCTCTGTCTCTCTATGGCGACCGGCCATGGCGGTCAGCCATTACCCTGTTCCTCTTCTTAGTCGCCCCATTCTACCGGCCCTTATAATAAACTTATAGTAATATGTCTGTCTCAGTATTTTCTTTTCTTCTTTTTAAACAAAACAATAACACAGATGTGCTCCCAGAGGCCAGAAGACTTCGGATCCCCCGGAACTGGAGTTAAGGTGGTTGGGAACTGTCTGATTTGAGTGCTGGGAACTGAACTTGTATTCTCTGCAAGAACAGTATGTGCTCCTAACTGCTGAGCCATCTCCCCAGCCCCAGTCAGTTTGTTTAGATCTCCTGAGCTAATTGGGAGCATGGGGTGGGGGAGGGAAGAAGGAGCTACAAGAAAGAGAAGGGGAGAAGAGGAGGGGCGAGGAGGACATGAGGGAGCAGAAGATTTAGTCAGGGGAAGAATAGAGGAGAGCAAGATAAGAGATGCCATCACAGAGAGGGAGCCATTACAGGTTTAAAGAGAAATCAGGCACTAGGGAAATGTCCAGGGATCTACAAGGTTGACCCCAACTAACAATCTAAGCAATAGTTGAGAGGCTACTTTAAATACCCTTCTCCGATAATGAGATTGATGGCTACCTTATATGCCATCCTAGAGCCTTCATCCAGTAGCTGATGGAAGCAGAAGCAGACACCCACAGCTAAACACTGAGCTGAACTCTGGAATCCAGTTGTAGAGAGGGAGGACTGATGAGCAAAGGGGTCAAGACCAGGCTGGTGAAACCCACAGAAACAGCTGACCTGAACAAGGGGGAGCTCATGGACCCCAGACTTATAGATGGGAAACCAGCATAGGACTGATCCAGACCCCCTGAATGAGGATGTCAGTTTGGAGGTCTGGTTAATCTATTGGTCCTCTGGTAGTGGATTAATATTTATCCCTAATATACGAATGGACTTTGGGAGTCCTCTACACATAGTGGGATACTCCCTCAGCCTAGACACACAGGGGAGGGTCTAGACCCTGCTCCAAATGGTATGACAGACTTTGAAGATCCTCCATGGGCGGCTTCACCTTCCCTAGGGAGCAGAAAGGGGATGGGACAGGGGGATCAGTAGAGGGGGAAAGGGAGGGAGAGGGAACTGAGATTGACATATAAAAGAAGCTTGTTTGTAATTTAAATAAAAAAATCTCAGGAGGCAGAGGCAGGCGATCTCTGTGAGATCGAGGCCAGCCTGCTCTACAGAGCAAGTTCCAGGACAGCCTCCAAAGCTACGCAGAGAAACCTTGTCTCGAAAAACAAACGAAACAAAATAAAAAAACCAAAAAGAAAAAAAAAAAGAAAAGAAAAAAAAAGAAACACAATGCCCTCCAGAGGCCTCTTTCTTTCAGTATGAAGTACCCTCCTTACCTCATCTGACTGGTTATGGTTTGCAGTTGATTTTGTCAGACATTAGAAGAGCTACTCTGATTGTCTCTTAGTTCCATTTGCTTGGAATATTTTTCCATCCTTTTACCCTAAGGTGCTGTCTATCATTGATGGTGATATATGTTTCTTGGAAGCAGAAAACAAAAAGCAACCCAACAACAACAAAAGGGGGATCCTGTTTACTAGTCAAATCCATTAGTGTGTCTCTTTATTGGGGAATTAAGACTATTAATATTATTGTCCCTGTCATTTTGTGGTGTTTTGTTAGTCCTTTTTTGATTAGCAGTTCTGACAGTTTGTTTTCTTAGGTGTGTTTATTCTTCTCTTTAGACCAAAGTATTCTTTCTAGTGTCTTATATAGAGCTGGCTGGGGTCATCAATTCCTGTGATCTGTTTTTGCCATAGGAAGGTTTTCTTTTCCCTTTTTACGACTGATAGTGTTTTGTTAGTACATCCATTAAAAGTGGGTGTAGCTGTTATTCTGGTGGGAGCCTTTACATGCGAGTTGGTCTTTTCTCTCTTGTAGCTTTCAATGGTTTCTTTATCTGGACATTCAGTGTTTTGACCACTATATTACACGGGCAGTTCCTTTTCTGGTCCCAACCATTTGCTTATGCCTCTTGCATCTGACAGGCATCTCTTGCCTTAAATTTGGGAAGCTTTCTTCTGCGACTTTGTTGAACATAATTTTTTTTTTTTTTTTTTTTTTTTTGGTTTTTCGAGACAGGGTTTCTCTGTGGCTTTGGAGGCTGTCCTGGAACTAGCTCTTGTAGACCAGGCTGGTCTCGAACTCATAGAGATCCACCTGCCTCTGCCTCCCGAGTGCTGGGATTAAAGGCATGTGCCACCAATGCCCAGCTATAGTGTCTTAAAATTCATGAATTTTCCACTCATGGGTGTGCTAAGGTTTTTTGTTTGTTTGTTTTTGTTTTTTGTCAACTTGGGGGCACTTTCTTGATTAATGACTGTTATGGGAAGGTGCTGCTCACTACAAGGCGGTGCATCTCGGGACAGGTAGTTCTGGGTGACATAAGAAAGCAAGCTGAGTAAGCCACGAATAAGCCAGGAACAATGTTCCTCCAGAGCTGCCTCCAGGTTCCTGTCTTGAATTGCCTGGATGGTGCCCTGTAATACGTAAGTCTAAGCCAAAGAAACGCTCTCCTCCCCAAGCTGACTTTGGTCTTTGTTTTGGTCCAGTTCTTTCTCTTGTCTTGGTATTCTCCCACTTGATCATTTCAATGAGTGAAGCTTTCTGTTGCACTTTTGTTTCCTCAGTAGATAAAGAGCTTGTCATGCAAGACTTACAACCTAAATTCAGATCTTTAGACCCTACATAAAAGCCAGACACATGGCACAAGTATCCATAATGCCAGTATCTATGTCCCTGTGGGGAACAGGAGAATTTTCAGCTAGTTTGGCTTACATAGCAGCAGAAAGACCCTTCTCAAATGATAAGGTGGAACTGTGTGGACAGAGACCCAAATGCTGTCCTTTAACTCCCACGGGTGTATGTGGCACACCCCGCACCCACACACATGAAGGACACACACACACACACACACACACACACACACTCTTCTCCTACATCCATACAAACTCACACCACTCCTGGAGAGAGACAGAGAGAGACAGAGATAGACACACAGAGACACACAGAGAGAAACATGGTAATACAAGTATTCAAAAGGAGTCCCCAGAATTATTTCTAACAATACCTACTGAAGATGCTACGTTGCAGAAACCTCTATGGTTAGCTTTGCAGGCTCAGTGTTGCAAATATTGGACTGAAAACTATGCATGTGTTTAAACAACTCAGATCACTGGGCCAATAATAGCTGGAATTGAACTGAAGGCCAGTGAGCTACACTTGAGCCCTTAGCACTGCACAGTGAGTCTTTTAAAAATTGTATAAATATTGGCATCATCCTCTTTCTCAAAGATTTCTCAAAGAAGACATTGAGGCATAGAGAAATTTAGCAACTAACCAAGGTCACATTGTTGGTAAGTGACATTTCAAGCCAGGCAGTCTCACTTCAGAGTCCACTCACTTTACAGCAGCAATGCACGGTGAGAGCAGTGCTTTGTGGGTGACAGACTAGAAGATACATGGGAAGACATGTTTGCCACAGACTGCCTTTCCTGGCTGAGCAAGCCAACACGCCGTTCAGACTGAACCAGCAACTGTGATGTGCACTGTTATAGAGCAAGGCCGTCCCTTGGTGTCCCTCTTCCCACACGGGCCTGCTCGTTCTCAGGCGTTGGAACAGCACAGCGCCTTATTTCCTACTAACTACCCAGTTCCGCTTGTTTTTACAGCAACAGAACGTGGACTAAGGCAGGGATCTGGGGTCTCATGAGTTTTACCTTCATCTGCTGCCTTTTCTGTTTCAGCACAGACCAGCAACTTGAAGCCACAGCCTAAATGTATGCAGAGGAGAAAGACAAGGTTTAAATTTATAGCTATTATCAATGTTTCCATTTAAGAACAGTGATTTGTATTGGAATTCAAAGTTTCTTACTCTAAAGGTTACAAAGAGTAACAGTAAAGGCTACCCGTGTTCCTTGTTTACAAACATGAACATTTGGGGAGATAATTCACTTTTATGAAACTAAAAATTAAATACAAAGCCAACAAGAGAAAAAGGCTGAACTCTAGAACCAAGGAGCTTAGCAACTACAACAAAATTCTCAAGGGCTCATAAATTCTAAAGCTACACATGGTGACTCTCATCTGTAATCCTGATACCTAAGAGGCTGAAGCAGTAGACCAGAGTTCCAGGCAGGCTGGGCTAGAGGGACACCTTGTCTCAAGACAACAAAACTGGAGGTCCTAAATTCTGTTCCTATGGGAAAGCACTGAAGATAAAGTACTTCCTTCAAGGACAGTATTGCTGTAATCTCTGAGGGTAAAGCTAAGTTTTATTCAAGAACTAAGAACCTGCAACCATGATGCATGAAAAGAAATGTCTGGCTAATCCACCTTTACCAGACCAGTGATCAGAATGAAGGACATTCGGGGCTGGAGAGATGGCTCAGAGGTTAGGAGCACTGACTGCTCTTCCAGAGGTCCTGAGTTCAATTCCCAGCAACCACATGGTGGCTCACAACCATCCGTTATGAGATCTAGTGCCCTCTTCTAATGTGCAGATATACATGGAAGCAGAATGTTGTGTGCATAATAAATAAATAAATAAATAAATAAATAAATAAATAAAATCTTAAAAAAAAAAGAATGAAGGACGTTCACTTTCTGTGGCTAGAGCACAGTTTAATGGAGATAGAGGTATGCTGAAAAGGCTTTACAGTGTAGTATCTGGAAGTTCCAAAACAACTGTGAAACTGCCAGCGGAACTTTTGAAAGACATTTCCAGCATTCAGACTTCATCAAGAAACACAGTATCAGGTGCTGCTTGTTGGT